TCTAAACAAACAAAATATCAGTTCAGACCATATGCTGATCATTAAGTAAATGTATGATTCTTGAAGTCCATTCACCACTCGGTGTCAGATCGGGAAGAGCTCTGTAGAGGCGTAGGAGACAGAGAGCGGCGCTTTGCTTCACCACATCAATCGTTTCGCTAATTTATAGCCAAATAGTGACAAACAATTAGATATCAAATTTCGTGTTCACTGGCAATCGGTCGCATACCCGGAGACCAACAGTTTGGGAATTTCATTGCCGAAGGTTTCGGCCATTTCTCGACTGCCGATGTTTGCAATGCACTGAAGCGCGAGATTTACGTGAATGGGGTTTCTCGAGGACAAGTCGTTTTTGATCGATTGGATGATTAATTTCATTAAATCGTTGTTTGCATTCATGAGAACCGATATAAACAAATAGCCCTAAAATATAACAAAAAAAACTTTCAATAAAACCTTTCAAACAATTTCGTGACAAATAGCTTACGATTTGTTTTTCGGAGTATTTATTAGAACTCAAGAGATTGACGGCTTCCATGTGCCCGAAGTCGATGTCGTGACCCAAGAGGAAGATAAACAACAGTTTGCAGACATACTTCTTCTTCTGATAGCCATCTAATGTCTTATCGCCTTTAAATTTGTTCCTAATATTCGCCAACTCTTTGTTGATTCTCTTGATCTCCGCCTCTTTGCTCTTACCTTCACACCAAACGCACCATTAGTTTTCATCAAACAATTTAATCAATCAATTGTTTCAATGGATATCACTAATCATTATGCATTTATACACTCGTATTCAGTCACATAGTATCGCATAATATACACCCCTTTTCACTATTCCTGAGTATTACAGTAAGCATTGAGTGAAACATTTGAACTAATATTCAAACATTTGAACTAATATTCAAACATTTGAACTAATATTCAAACATAACATCCATTCAAATAATGGCATATATTTTAGCCACAAATCAAGTTTTTATAAAATCTAAATTAATTTCATTTCAATTATAAAGCAAAACAATTGCCAGACTGAGAGCTACTGATGAACTCATTTGACACTAAAAGATCTGATGATATGTTATCTCAAAAGCACTCATTTGTTTGACAGGTATTGGTGCGAGAGATGTATTGAATGCGAGACACGAGTGATGAATGGCTGAAAATGATAATTCAAACCATGGATCAAATGGTAAATAGACTCACAGTTCCTGATGTCGGATATAAAGACGGCTAAACCTCGCATCCCATCCCCTCTTACGGCCGGCATTTTCACCACTCGTTTCGGTCTATAATTGATACACTTTTTCGCGACTTCTTAGTAATAAATGTCTTGTAATATGCGGTCAAATGAGTTCCCAAAGCGTTCATAAATCTGATGGCAAAGTGAGACACAAATCATTGGTAAACAAGCGATTGGTGTGTCGTTTGTTGTAAAATTCTAGATTAGAATTAGTGCCGAGAGTGTGACTCAATACAACACTACTCTCATTCACTTATTCAATGAATGCATTGAAAGCATTGCTTCACAACAAGTCTGGATTTCACAGATCGATTGAACTTCACTTTCCATACCATTCACAAATGATATGACATTTAATTCAATGTTATTTATATCCCCCCAATAGAACTGTCATTTTTACAGAATCACATACTAATGAATGTATTACAAGAATGACCGCTACTAACAAATTGTAAAACTTAATAATACAGTATTTATACAATTAAAATTGTTAATTGTGCAATTATGAATTAATAATTTATGTTTCAATTTTAAAATAATTAGCACTAAATAGAAAATACCCTGCACAAACTTTGAGAATAGATGACAGAATTGTGGGACCGATAAGATAGACAGACAAATGGTCACTTCATTGTATCCACATCCATTTGATTATATGATATAAATATTCAGATCATTATATTTGACCATATATTATTAGAATTATGTAAAATTCTAGATTAGAATTAGTGCCGAGAGTGTGACTCAATACAACACTACTCTCATTCACTTATTCAATGAATGCATTGAAAGCATTGCTTCACAACAAGTCTGGATTTCACAGATCGATTGATTAGATGACAGAATTGTGGGACCGATAAGATAGACAGACAAATGGTCACTTCATTGTATCCACATCCATTTGATTATATGATATAAATATTCAGATCATTATATTTGACCATATATTATTAGAATTATATTAATTACACTCAAAATTAGATTCAAATTAATGTAATAATAAGAATATTCTTGAATACAAATATTCTTGTAAGTTAGTTTTGATAAAGTGTGTGTATAGTGATGACCAATTGGATTATCATTGTATAATATGATAGATGCTATAATATTATGAAATAAAAGTAATAAAAATCAATTATTTGGATGCTTTCACGGAATCAATGCATCGATAAGTTAATGAATAAGAAATGAATGAAAGCTTTGTATAAAAGATGAGTCAAATAAACATTTTATTTCAGATATCATCAGTTGTATAATGAAATGAGAGTATAGTTAGAATTAGAGCCAATTTTGATCACTAAATATAATTTATATATATTTATAGAATATTCTATAGAAATACATGAATTGATTTGAATTTAGGCATTATATTAGGTTATAATTTAAATAAAAAGCATAAAAAAGACAAACCAATAACTCTATGTTTACAACACTTTTGAAGTCATTTTTATGTTTCATTTAATATAACATTAATTTTATGAGTTTTAAACATTTGATTAGAGAATTAAAGTGAAAATAGAGGCACTATTTATATAAATATTAAAATCATATATAATTTAATGTTTTTGTTGACCAAATCAAAGAGGAAAACATCATTTTATGACATAAATCTAAAATCATAATTCAAGAGTCAATTGATATATAATTAGAAATTTTAACAATAATTTTAAAACAATTATTAAATTCATTGATATTTTCACTTTTTATATTATTATTCATGTTTTTCGTATTGTTTGTCAAAATTAAGGGAATGTTTTTGTCACATAAATTGAAAATAAAGTCATTTACGTAAACATCACTTTTGAATATAAATTATTACACAAAATAAAAACATATCAGAAAAAAGAAGAAGACTTTCCACACAAATGTTTCGATAAATTATTCACTTATTATGCAATCGATTCATACAAAAATCAATCGTCTATTTCGATGAATAAGTCATTTTATAGTGAATTAATGAATGGATTCAATCAAATGATCGCTCAATAGATTCAAAAACATAAACGAAAGATAATAACAAATATTTTCTTAAAATATAGTATTCACTCAAACAGTGCTTTCATTTCTATATAAACTAAAACCAAAACGATTAATATGTTTATTATATTCATTAACCTTTTAATACTATATTCATATATTGATTATTACTTCCAAACCAATTGATTATTATTTCGTTTTTTTGTAATTTAACGCAAAATTAATCAAAGAATCGTCGGTTCTTTGGTTTCAACTATTTCGCAGTTTTTTAAGTGTTTGTTTGGTTTTTGTGATCATTTCAATGAATATTATTGTAAAATATATTAAAACTGTTCAAAAAGAAGTTCACAAATACGTTGGGAAACCGTGTCTTTACTCGACCTAATCGTCAGGCGATACATCTGTAATCAAACCAATCAATCATTAGTACAATTATAATCGTTTATCAAAGTCCACAAAAAAGCTGTACAGATGTACGTAAAACATACCTGTGCCTGCATATTAGGCTCCAGTCTGAGTAGCACTCCCACTTGAACAGCCTTACTGTGTACAATACCGGCGCAAACAAAGTTCTCGGGGTTTGGGTCCACGTTTTCTAGTAACCCAAAGCCAAAGCCTATTAACTTAGTTTTGGTCACTTCGCCGTCCATTCCGTGTTTGGCTTTGAATATCTTCTGAGCCTCTTGTGAGGGACTGAAGGGAATGGAGGCAAAGGTTGTCAGTAAAGCAACAAATGATATGAATAACAGTTATAATGCATTACTTGTTTAGATTCTTCCAACGGCTGAAGAAGGTCTCGGAATCCATAACTGTTTGTTCCAAGAATTTGTTTAGAGTTAACGGAAGCTTTAATGGGAACCTTTGGGGGCCGTTATAACTGAACTCCACTAAAAGTGTGGGCAAATCACTGAAGTCGTTCACGCACTCGACATTGATTTGCTGCTGGACTTGAGCGCCGGCATCAATGATAGGCTCTACAGGTTTCGCTTGAAGGCTGACACCTGAATGTTGTATAAACGATAAGTACTGTGAACACAAACCACAAACCAATAAGTGGGGTACTATTGACTCACATTTCTGGAGTTGTTCAGTGCATGAAATCGATGGGAAAAACAACATAAACTGAGAATTGGTTTTATTGCCATAAAAGAGGGAAATCCTTCCGAGATTCTGACGGTATTCCGCTTTCACTCCGATCTGCAGCAACTCGTTCTCAAAGAGGACGCCGTTGTGTTTGGAGACCAACTTCTTGAGGCCCTCTTCGTTGCTGACGACCACTCCGGCGACCGTCGAGTTCATAGAAGAGCCGATGTTATTGTTTAGAGCGGAGGTATTGTTCGCTGATATGCCGGAGTCGCCGAACACTTCCACCAAAAGACTTGCGTTCGACTGATTCGATGGGACGGCAGTCGGCGGTGAACTGTTGAGACCCAACAGATCCGCCGACGCGTTACTATTGATCACTGGACTCGCGATGTCGTTCAACGCGTTGTTATTCATGGTTCCCTTGTATTCCTTGCCAGTGGTGGCCACCCCTCCAGTCATCCCCGGCTTCTTCTTCTTAAGTGAGGCTAATATAGAGCTCTCGCGTTCGGGAAAGGGAGGCATTTCCTCCAACACAGTGGCCAACACGTCGGTCGAGGCAATGGATGTCAACTGGAGGTACTCTACCGTTCTTTGTTGCAGCTCTGCGTCCGCACTGCGAATATTGCTGTGGTTTTTGAGAATCGTCTGAATGTCGGCTTTGATTTCGGGAAACAGATTAATGAACTTGACGTAAGTGGTCAACAGGAGGGCCCGGGTGGAGGCCGCGCACAAGTGGTACTTCGAATGTAAGAGTTGGAACTGAATCAATGGACTCGACCGCTGATCACCGGCTATTAGGTTTCCAAACTCTCCCAGTATATAACCGGCCACTTTCACCATATTCTCGTGACACGCCGGCGCTTGCAGTGCCTGTCGTATCGCAGCAATCAATCAACGTTTGTGTCAAACAATTGCGTCCATAATAGTTACTCACCTCGAAGACAGTTTTGGCGGCATATCCCTGAACATCCTCTCTGTTTATCACAATTTGAATGACTCGATACCAGACCTCTTCACTAACATAGTCCCCAGCGATTCGAATCAAGTTTAGGATGACATCCACATACCAGGTATAGTCTGACGCATACTTTTCAGCCAAAATCGCCACTTTTAGCACCATTTCCTCGCGTATAGAATAGTCCGCTGTTTCTAAATACGAGAGCATTTCGCTGACAATCTCTTCGGAGTTAGACTTATCGCACATCGCGTACAACAGATCCACAGCTCTTTGTCTGACACTAACGTCTCGTTCAGTCTATTAATGAGAATATAATCGTTTCAATGATTAGTATTGGAGGCGATTGTATGAAATGGGAAGCAATGAGACCTTGAGTGCATTGATGACAGTGTCCTGATGTTTCTTAACGGCGTCGTGAGAGAACTCAGAGGTGGCTAAAAGACACATACTTTCGAGTGCTAAATATCTGAGATTAGTCTCCCTGTGCTGTAAGAACTGTCCCAATTGGTTACAGGCGCGCACCAGTAGGTTGGGTTCGCTGTCCATATGAATGATAAGACTAATTGCTTCGAAAAGTATGGCGTTCTTAGCGTTAGAGTGTTGCACTTTCTTGGACTTCGGCGGCTCCTGTGCTTTGTTTAGTATAGTCTCTAAGCACTCGTTCAGACGCCCTCTCACTCCCGGGTCGTCGGGCGGCGGATAGTTCTGCAGTAATCTCAACAGTTTGACCGAAAGCCACGGCGCCGGCACGAAGTAATACGTGTAGTCTTGCAGATCGGTGTACGAAGCCGTCACTATACGACTGAGTCGGGACACCGCCAACGATACACAGCCTTTGTACTCATCGGGACTTCGGTTGACCAGTGAATTGATTACACTCACAGCTGCTGTCACCACACCCTATACACCAATCATTGTCATTAATTGAAACACAATCTAAACAAACAAAATATCAGTTCAGACCATATGCTGATCATTAAGTAAATGTATGATTCTTGAAGTCCATTCACCACTCGGTGTCAGATCGGGAAGAGCTCTGTAGAGGCGTAGGAGACAGAGAGCGGCGCTTTGCTTCACCACATCAATCGTTTCGCTAATTTATAGCCAAATAGTGACAAACAATTAGATATCAAATTTCGTGTTCACTGGCAAT